TATTGCAAGGTAATCTAGATCTTCTTATAAATTTTATACAGATTTCTGTATGAATCGGTACAAAACTACCATTATTTGGCTCTTTCATGAAATTGAAATGCTTTAAAATCACATTTAAAATTAAATTACCATACTGGTTTCTTGTTCAGTCACCAATTTTTTAACGGGGCTGATTGGGGTTTTCATTGCGCAATATTTCGCGCAGCATAGTGAAATCAACCTTATTTACACTTATTGCAACTATTTTCACATAATTTATCAAATTAATCAAAAATAAAAAAAAACGCAGGTTAAAAAATCTATTTCCTATTTTAAAATACTTATTTTTTAAAATGATTTTTAACAGATAGTTATAGTGATGCCGTAATAGTGTGTTTGTGACGTTATGATAAAATGAAGTTCTTTAAGAGGGGATAATAAAAATGTTATAAAAGAAAAAGTATAAAATATATGCTTTTGAAATTTTAAACACAGGAATTTGAAGATCTCCGAATTGTTTTCTGACATTTTTTGTATAAATCGTTAGTATCTGTCATATTTTGTAGTACTCCATAAAAACAGGGAAATTTCGTAAATTTTAAATTTTGAGATGCTCCCTTTGGAAACCAGAAGGTAGAATTTTGTGTTTCTTACATATAATGTTTAATATAGTATTAATCATCATATATTATAATTTGAGCAAAAAGTCTATTGTAGTATTTGTAAAATTTGCTTTGAAGTGCGAAAAATCAGCACTTTCCCTAATAACCCTATAGTAAATGTACCTGATACGGTCCCTAAAAAACTCAGAAGATAGATTTTCCCTTGACTTGGCATGTATACTGAAGTAAATGTAAGTTATATATGATATAAAATTAGATCTGACGTTGCGCACGGTGTTGGTACACATTGGCGTTACGTCAAAATAACGTAATTAAAGCCATAATGTTGTTACAACGTTTTTTACGTTATAATTGCATATTTTAGTTGTTTGATGTGAATTTTATTTTATTTTATTTAAAATCTAAATTAAATAACAGAGCACAAACTTTCCAATTTTTGAATCTTCGAAAATATTCAGATTTACACTAAAAATCTTATAATCTTATAAATAAATTGTAAGATTTTTAATATGAAATTGCCACAGGCATACATATCCCCATTCATATCCTTGATTCCTCTTTCTTTTTCTTTTTTCTCACTTTGTACTCCCTGTCTTGCAAAGAGAAAACACATCAAATATCTTTCTCTTTTAACTGCTTCTCCGTTTTTTTTTTCCATTAGGTCATTTCAAGTTTTCTATTTCTATCAAGCCCCGTATGCGCCTTGGTTTTTGAAACCCAAGATAAAAGGAAAGCACGAAAAATCGGTAGTCCTTTCATGCGCGGTTCCAGGAATTTTTGAGAGGGGGGGGGGGTCCAACCAATTCAAAAAGAAATATGACTCTCAAAGTTTTTGACAAGCAACAAAAAATTATAACTGAAAATCCTACGGGGGAGGGGGTCCGGATCCCCCTTCCAGACCTCCTCCGCTTGCCTTTTTTATTGAAACCTTTTGAATTCTATCATTTTCTTTTTATATTTTTCTAAAATGTTAAATTAGGTAATGTACTTAGCATTTACAACCTTGATTTGCAAAGGAATATATATTTCTACGATTGAGAAAATGTGTCTTTCTACGAGAAAAATGGAATTATGAAATCAAAACATTTGAATAATATAATTTTTTTGACAACCGGTGTACAAAGTAGGATTTCCCCCATAACCAGCCCCCCCCCCCCCCGGGGGATCTATACTCAGGAGTGGGAAATTTCTACTCTGTGTAACAGTTATAAAGTGCGATTCCCTCAAGAACCAATTTACCCCTTCTCCCATAAAATATCATGCCGAGCCTTAAATGTATATATGAGGGCGAGGGGGCGACACATGGTTACAAATGCCCCTTCCACAGGTTCTCTAGCAGTCATTAACGAAACTTCACAAAAATTGCAATAAAAAAAATCTAGATGTGTCAACATTTAATTTATGAAAAAAAACGAGGAATTTTATTTTTAATAGATTTTTTAATCCAGTTATAATTCATCAAACTATATGTGCATAATATTGATTAAGTGTTTCTGGGGATTTAAATAACTGTCGAGTATTATACCTCTGTGGTCGAGGGGTCATATCTATATCCTACGGCTTGCAAGAGCAGTGCTTCTTGTATTGTACTTTTTTAACTACTAAAATTTCATACTTAATTTGAACAATTCCTGAGCGAAAACACTAATACATGTATTTCTATTAAAAAATCAGTTGACTTTCATATAAACTTTAATAATGTCGATATGATATAAGCATTGATAAAACAGGGGAAAACCTACACTGAGAAAGAAAGAGGGGGGAAATAGGCTCTAGTGTAAGATTTCCCCTCGGGGGAAGTCCCACTCCTGAGTAGTTAAGCTCTCTTTATAAATCGGGGGTGGAGGGTATTGACATGCAAAAAAGGAGGGATGGGGATGTTTCGCTATTAAAAACCCTACCAAACTGACCAAAAAAAAAAAAAAAGAAACTGACTTATAGCCAAATTCAGAAATCCTATTACTTTTTTTTGGGGGGGGGGGGGGTTCATTCTCATTTTTAGCAAAAAAGAGAGAGAGAGAGAGGGAGAACAATAACGTGATATGTTTAGATATTGCTGCAACAAAATAAAAAAGGGGTACCGGCGTTTGAATGAAAATTTTCAGAAAATTTAAAACACAAGATTATCCTAAAATAATTGGAGAAGGACGTTTTACCGGTACTCCGGACCTGCAGAAAATTGGAAAAAAAGAGCACGGCGATAATAATTCGACGCTCCCGACGTCATTCGTATATATGTAGTGTGCAAAATGACGTTTTTCGTACCTGTGACAAAATGGCTACATTTATATTGATGCTTGCATTTATTTCATGTAGATGATTACCGTAAAAATTATGTTATTATCTAATACAGTATGAAATGTTCTTTCAAGCTACAGTAATGATTGGTATATATATGACATTAATTAATGTATATTTGATATGTAACTGAGACATCTAAGTAATAGTACAGCGACTCGTACTTGTATAACAAGATGGCTACACTTAACAAAGCCTTACTATTATTTACGTATTAGCAGAAATATGACATGTTTCAACATAACTAATTTTAGAAGCATATGTACTTAAGGATTATTCATCAAAATTTATCTTTGTTTGGCATTTATGTCTAGTACACATCGCCATGTGGGCTAATGTCAACTTTAGGAAACGATTTTTTTTCTGTTGGTCATTTTACTTACGCACTGTAGATTCAGCCCAAACTCATGAAATTGAGAAAATGATGTTAAAAATTCCACAATATCACAAAGAATGCATACAAATTATTGTATTTCCTAAATTTCATTTAATTTAGAGGATTGGAAGTGGATCTTTTTATATATTGTAGTTGCGCGTACAATAATTTATGTAACGTTAGACACGGGAATTTCGCCGTAGTATAACCAATAATGAATAGAGCCGTATCATAACTAAAATATTTTTAGATTATTAAAAAGAAATTTTTTTGAATAATTTATTACCTTGGATAAAATAAATATTTTCATTTTTAATTTCTAGTAACTTTAACATCTTGAAAACGCCATTTTCTTTACGACATCTAAAGAGTCAGATTTTATAGTACCAACACAGTGCACAACGTTAGAGTTTTTCTATTGTAGTTTTCGTACAACAAAACCCCAGTCGGCTCCCTTAAATGTATCTTCATTTGAATCTTATGTGATTAGGCTATATTTAAAATAATGTTTGCTTGCCCTTTCCCGACTCAGGATAAAAAGATCAGTTAGGTAGGTAGCGGGAATTTTTTTCGAAACAATTTAACGAATATGAGGTTAAAATAGTTCTTAATGGGATTAGAAAATTCTTGAAAAAAATAAATCTTTTATTGAGGTTAAAAAATATTTGAGTGTGTCCATTTTAACATGTATTCAGTCGATTGGGAGAGGGCAAACAACCAATTTTTGAAAGATGGCCTCAAGAGGAATTTGTTTATGGATTATTTTTGGATATTGCCTCCAGAAATACTGAGCAGTTCTAATCATTCCACAAAACTATTTCCCTAAAAAAAAAAACTGGGTTTTTTTTATTTCAGCATTCTGTCTGTCAATATTTTTGAATCAACCATTTTTGTTATTTAACATCTCGGATAAAGTGTCCTACTTTAAAATAACCCGTGAATGAAAAATCGGAAATCTTATATTTCTATCTGTTTTGCTTTTGTTTTCTTTAATTACATTTTTTTTTTATAGATTAAGCTTAAATAGACTTATATTTGTCAAATACAAAAGAATATACATGTACTATCCTTTCCAAAAAGTACGTTCAAAAGGAAAAAGTCATTGATCATTAGAAATATTTTTTTTATTTAAACCTGCATGACAGTGACTTCGAAAAATTATATTTAGAGTGAATGTATGTAAAGCTTTAAAAAATAGTCATGTGTGTATGTATGTTAATAAGTATATTGCAATATCTGATTCAATTATTATTTGCGTAAAATCACATACATGTACAATGCACCCTACCTCGGATATTTTATAGAGTCTGTGAGAATTTAAAACAGACAAATTATGCATTCATGTACATCTATATAGTTAAGACCTTTCCTTAAAGACAGAAAGCTTAATTGGTAATTTTTTCCAATTTTATGGCAGGTTCATCACAATTCCCCTAAGTTACATGAAATCTAGTACATGACAAATGTTTACTGATTTGCATGATTGGTTAGAGAGCTAAATAACTAAATAAACATGAGAATGAGCGATTTCACCTAATACTTGTTTCAAATAATTAAGGAGGTACCCTGTAAAAGGAATATGATAGATTTTGAGGGAATTTGATTTAAATAATAATTCATCATATGAACACCCTCTTTTAAAATATTAAAGTTTATAGTATTTTTTAATGATAATATGATTTATTCTTGATCAAATGTTCTATTCATTCAATAAATGTTATTTCCAGTAGTTATAGTGACACAATGATTTCTGTCCCAAGTTTGATCTGCCTCCTTTTGACTGCGGCGATGATCTTTGATATGGCTGAAGCATCCAAGCCTTGTAAAGGTAAACAGTGTAATCATTCTTTTCAAAACGATAAAAATGAGGCATGTCTCCTTATAATGTCAAGAGTGAAACACATTAACAACAAAAACAACAAAAACACTTATATAGTTTATACCTGCATTGGTGCGAAGAATTATACAAATTAATGACTATTAATAATTACAAATTGTTGTCTATCTATTGGACATAATGATCATGTGCTATTCCAATAAGTTTCATTCACGTAGTTACTGATACTTTTTTCAGGTAAGAAACATTATGAATTTTCCTGTTTGCTTTTCTTTAGTGTAAAATAAGTCTGTACATAGAATATACAAGAACATCGATATAATCCATTTTAATGTGTTCTTCTTCAAATATAGATAGAGTTTTATAATAACAAGCATCCTGAGAGTATTGCATTAGCAATACTAGTCCCCTACCGGCAAGTGTAATCTGGTTCCTGTTAAAAATTGAAAATACCATAATTCCGTTAAAAATCAATGAAGCGGAACGAAATGCAAACTTGATCTGTAACTCATCAAGATACACTCACGTACCAAAAATCAGCTCAATATCTGCAAAGGTCTAGAAAAAAAATGCGGAAAACCAAATGGGACAGACTGACAGACAGACAGAGGGACAGCTAGACAGACGGACGGACAGACTCAGAGGAAACCTATATTCTCTCCGGTTTCACCGGTAGGGGACTTCTAATAACCTTCTCTCTCTCTCTCTCTCTCTGGTGTGTGTGTGATTGAAGTACTTGAAGCCATTTTTCAGGAGAGTGGGAACTTATCTTTCATGCACCAAGTGGAAACAGGCAAAGCGTTTTGAGGACTTGGAAGACGAAATACACTAAATGTGACATATTCAACCAAGTATGCCCATGTCCCATTCATAGGGGATGCCTTCCTTCTAACTTCCAGCCCGAAAAATACACTAACCCCCCAAGAAAAATTTTGAGAAGTCCATTTATTGACTACTGGAGTTGCCTCAATATTCGAAAGGTAATAATATTTTAATTATTCGTGAAGCCAGCTTATTTTAACTACAGTACCTTATAAAATAGAATCGATAGACTCAATATATTAATTTGATAGTTGTTTCATAAAGCAGAACAAAAAAGACGCATTTCACATGGATGTGTATCTGTGTAATTGCAGTAATTTATGGATCCACCATTAAATATATGTAAAAAAAAAAAGTTCCTTGTCTAAGGATTTATTCAGATTACTGTCTAAGGTATATCAACAACTAATGTGAAAATAGCTGAGTAGCTTAATTTTCAATCACTATAATACATGTATATATCTATATTACATAACCCAAGACTTTATTTTCCAATCAGTTGATGACATCTTGTAGCGCACAAATTGATCAGTGTTACCAGTATCTTATTTTTCTTAAATAAAGAGGGACATCCGGTACTCTTTATTTAAAGAAGGCCATTTCGATTTGAAAAAAAGATACAATTGATAGACCAAAGTATGTCTTGAACAATATAGGAAATTTGCGAGGCAAGGAAAATGGCACCCGCAATTTATGATTCTCACGGGCACCTAAGGGAACATGACATTGTACTCGGCGGATTTCTGTGACTAAAAAAATATATGTTCCGTTTGAGACAATATCAAAATATACAATACAGAGATTCTAGAAATTAAGTTTTCTCAAATGAAGTATAATAATCTCAAATATATGATGATTTATTTATATTTCAAATCAGTTTTATGAATATACATACAAGTAATTCCGCTTGTCAGTTATCCGTGTGACCAAGTTATTGATTAGGTTCTTGTGATAACAATATTTGAGTGATATGGTTCATAGTATCGTATTCAACGTTTTCTTTAACAATTTCACTTTACTTTAAATATGTCAAAGGCTGATATATGTTAAAAAATGACTTTCTAGAGAAAATTCTTATTAATATAGACACGTACCAAAGGCACTTGTTTCGGTAATAAATTTTTAACCCACAGTATAATAATAACACAAGGTATCTAACTCCGAATTACACGGAGTACCCCCTCCCCCAGAATCGCACTCATTTAAACTTTCAGAGGAAATACACTGACAAACTGTTAATACATATGTTTTCTACGATAATTTATCTACACAAGCATATATGGCATGCTTGTCTTTATTTTCTTTAGTCTCCGTATACAGCTTCAAAACTCTGCTCGCCGTGTGGAAAAGTCGAATTCAACCATAAAATGATATGTGCTAATCCCGCACAATCCCGCACAGAGATTTTGATTGGCTAAAAATCTGTTTCTAAAATAACTCTACGGAAGCCCAGTAGTGCAAACCAAAAATAAAAAAAGAAAAGCGAAATTATTAAATAAAGAAAAACGAAATTATTAAATAAAAATCAAACGAAATTATTAAATAATGAAAACGAAATTATCAAATAAAGGAAACGAAATTATTAAATAAAGAAAAACGAAATTATTAAATAAAAACAAAAAAATTATTAAATAAAGAAAACGAAATCATTAAATCAAGAAAACGAAATTATTAAATAAAGAAAACGAAATTATTAAATAAAGAAAAAGAAATTATTTAATTAAAAAAAACTGAAACTAAAATACGGATTTATAGATGTGCATGGTAAAGGCCTAAACCCATGAATCATTCCGTTCTACATGTATGACCTGATTTTGTTTCGATATAAAACAAGTGTCCTATTTGCATTTACACTCAGCTATTCCCGTATCGATAACATAACCAGTTGGAGTAGACAATCACAATACATGAATGGGGGAGAATTTTACCTTTGGTTATCCAATATGCTTAGATCTATGTTCTTACATTAACATGATTGTTGTGAACTTTGACCAGTCTGATGAATTGGCCAGTGATGACAAGTTTACGTTAACATTGGCTTTCTTAAACCCTCAGCTCAGAAGGTCTAATTATCAGCATACAATGAATCTGGACATGAAACATCAAAGAGATTATGCTAATAAATTGCACAAATATTTAAGATATACAGGTCTGTCAAGATTCCGTTGTTTACAACTGCAGAACTTTATAACATTTAGGAAATTCCCATGGCTATACATCATTTTTCAATTATCGCACGGTACAAAAATGCTGTAAAATGATACGTTACAGATTGGATTTTTAAAGAGAGCAAGTGCAAAAATTAAACAAGTCAAAGTGATTACAATGAGTAGATTTTAATGACTGCTTAATTTATTAAAAATTAAGCAAAACACTTCTAATTTCTTGGTCATTTAATCAAGGCATAATTAGAAGTGATGTACTAACTATTTGTTCTCACATATTCTAAATGACAAATTCTCAATGTGTATTTATATGTCAGTGATAGTTGTGATCAAACAATGCACACACTTGCATAACAAATCACACAAAGTATTCAAAACATTCTCTTTATTGTTTCAACAACCTAAGATTTATGGGTACACAGATAGGGCGCTACGTTTAGTTCGGGGGGAATTCAGCAATACGATGCGCAAGGTCTTGACCTTTCAGCGATTCATGAGCTCTTTTGGAATGTCATTAATAAGGTTAGCCATCCTCGCTACGTCCAGGCTTACAGGCTCAAACTTTCACGTTGTGGGGATGCAACACAGCATCAAATTCCCGTAAACAAAATTGAACAGTTATGAATCATTTACTTAAAAAATGCGAATTATAGGCTGTGGGCACATAATGTTTTTCTAGGTTTGTCAATTTGAATTGACATTTATCTAAGTTTTTTTTTTATTTTTTCATTTCCCCCACACTTGTTTTAATGTCGAAACAAAATCAGATCTATAGAAGTACTAAGTGATTCTTTATAACACGTGCACTTTATGGAATGATTCATGTGTTCAGGCCCTTACCATGCACATCTATAAATTCCGTATTTTAGTTTCAGTTTTTTTATTTAATAATTTCGTTTTCTTTATTTAATAATTTCGTTTTCTTTATTTAATAATTTCGTTTTCTTTATTTAATAATTTGTTTTTTATTCAATAATTTCGTTTTCTTTATATAATAATTTCGGTTTTTTTATTTTTTATTTTTTTGGTTTGCACTATTGGGCTTCCGTATAACTCGGATAAACATCGTAATGTTTTCAGGGAAAAGTCAGACGTAAACAAGTTCTATTTACTCATGCAATATTTAAACACTGGAATTGAATTTTTAAACCCACTCATTTTTTAATTTTGTTCTCTGTGCGGGATTAGTACATACCATTTCATGGTTGAATTCGACTTTTCCACACGGCGAGCAGAGTTTTGACGCTGTTTACGGAGACTAAAGAAAATAAAGACAAGCATGCCATATATGCTTGTGTAGATAAATTATCGTAGAAAACATATGTATTAACAGTTTGTCAGTGTATTTCCTCTGAAAGTTTAAATGAGTGCGATTCTGGGGGAGGGGGTACTCCGTGTAATTCGGAGTTAGATACCTTGTGTTATTATTATAGTATGGGTTAAAAATTTATTACCGAAACAAGTGCCTGTGACACGTACACCAAAATACATGTATCATGCATTACAAAAGCATGTTGTAAAAAAAATATTCATATTTATTAATCGAAATATCTCAACAACAAAAAAAAACGAACTTGCAAAACCAATACACTCTTTTGTCCCATAAAATATGTCTTCAAGTTATATAATATTCGATTCATTTTTTTCTGAAAAAGGTGTTTTGCCAATGTTCAAACACTGTTTTAATCCTATGCACAACTAGACTTAACGGTATTGTCATTTTAACTAACTTAATTTTTTTTAATAGGAAATTTGAGGTAATATAGTTTGTAATTATTAGAAGTTAGAATCATAACTTTGTCTTGAACGTAAAAATTATGTGCCAAGGATATAAACACAAATATATCACTTAAAGGTTTATATTTGACAATAATATTTTTCTTATTTTTAAACAATTACTTATGGTGGATCACCATGTATCAAAATATTTTTTTCAGGGAATATTGTAAATACTTTATTACAAACATAAAATTGATTTCATGGTTTAAAATCAAGTCTATAATACATGTACATATATACGAAAATATATATCATATTGCACACTTGTATATTATTTAGCAATTACACTTGAATAGTTTTACTTAAATCACACTTGTTGGAAAGGTCAGATTTGAGTTAAACACCCGTGGAAAAACAGTGGCATTCATTGAATTTGATGGAAGAGGTTCAAACTCCATGAACTGGTTTGACAAGAGCAGAATTTTGAAAACTAGTTGGACGGACATGCACAAATCTGGAAGCTTCAACTTCTTTTCAATTGACAAGTAGGTATTCCTTTTATAAAAATATTTGAATTCAAATAATGTACATATCCTGAAGGCGAATTCTGATTTAAAGTCTTACTTTGTAGGGAAACCCGCTATAGTAGAAAGTTCTTTATCAACAAGAATTATGGAGGCTGTCATAGAGATGCAGGTTGGTTTGTTGTTTCTGATGTCTACGGATCCAAACCTTGTAGGTGGGAAAAACGGACTCCATACCCTCAGTTCCTGTACAGTAAAAATGGGAAATTGACAAGATGGTACCAGAGAAGTAAGTTATTTATGTGGTACTGGTCATTTTGTGACGATGTCATTTTTGACAATCATTAAAATTTTAAGCAGAAATACTAATAAAAACATTAATTGACAGATATTCGAAAAAAGGGTCGCATAGAACTGTCTTGAAAAAAAAACTTAGTTTTTAGATATATATTTGGTTATTTTTGAAATATTGTAATTAATTTGATATTTTAAAGCTGTTTATTTATAAGATAAATAAGCATTTTTAAAATAATAATAATTGATTCTACCTTGCACAATAGGAAAAATAGTGAGAATTTAATTTTCTTATGTATTGTTATACACATAATTTTTTTATTAAACATAATTATACTTTTAGGATACGGAAAAGCAGAACTTCTCAACATTTACATTCAAAGAGGATAGCCGTGGAAATTGCAGCATTATAACAAAGTAAAATTGCATTAAACAACGTGTTACATATTTTTGTCTGTTACATTCAAAGAACTGTTTAACATGACGGTTTTAAAATAAATTTACGTTCAAATTTCATTTCTAGAATTAAACACTCTTCTGACTACACTGAGCTTGTTTTTTTTCGCCCATATAACACGAGGCTGAATTAGGTCCGAACAATGTCAGTTATTATGAAATGACAACATATAGTATTGAAATACATAAAATTTAATAAAAAGAGACTTGGAGACTGTGTAATATTACAAAACAATTCCTGAAGAAAAAAAAACATGCAAAAATAAAATAATTATACAATAAAATTGGCCTCCTAGTAACTTTTACATGATACAGTGTATATAAAATTGGCAAAATAGGTGACCTCCAAAATATGGCTCATACAATGTCATTTTAATATGAAATGAAATTATGTAAAATATTACGCATGAACTAGCCTTTAAAAACGACATAATAGCCTTTAAAAAGAACATACAATATGTATGCAATTAAAACACAATTCACAATCAAAACTGACTCTCAGAACCTGAGGTGGCATAATAAAAGTATGACTGTGATGGAGGTGAGTAATTCAAAAGAATTACGAGCAAATGATTGGCCGTCTTGTCTTTACAATAGCAGTAGATAGAATGATGTTTATCTCAAAAGGATGAAACTACAGGGGGTCAGTGCGGGATGCAAGAAGACAATACACAAAGTGGGGATTTACTATCTAACATAAGCTACATGTAACTTAAAATAATTTTATAAGCAAGAAATAGCATGCGGTTTTATGAATGGTGAGTGTTCAAAAGGAACGTTTTGAAAAATTTTCAAAATTACTCTGCCTTTTTATTTTATACACAGACACAGATCCATTACCCATTCATAAAAAAAAAATCTCCATAACGCTTGACACCTAGTTCGAGTAGCTTAAGTTAGTTTGTCAGTTTTCCCCAAATTCTATGCCTCGTAACTCTTCTTTCTCGAGTTCCGCAGTAGTGAAGTGCAAATCACTTTTCATGACGTCACTAACTATTTTGACCAAATTGTTAACTATAAATCTGTTTCTTTGCAGACCGTCCATCTTGCGAAGCAATGTATTTAGCTACAATTTGGCATCAGAAACTACATAACAATACTGAAGCTGAACGATTAAATTTATTATGTTTAAGCTCCATTTATTAGAGGCATGACTATAGATATTATATATGGAGTGTATTGTTAGTGAATTACTTAATTTTAACCTTGCTCTTTGACCCCATTTTTGGTGTCTTAGATTTGAGATAATTTGATAAATATCAAAATATGTTCAATTTTCAAATTAATTTTATCTGGAAAAGAGGTGATATTCCACCTTAGTGGACACAGGCAACAATCATTCCAATTTCAAAGCATGGGAAGGATCACACAGATCCTAATAATTACAGACCACTTGCTTTAACAAGCTCCATATGCAAGGCCATGGAACGGATTATCAATGAACGCCTTATATGGTTTCTTGAAACCAATAACATTCTTTCAAATATACAATGTGGTTTTAGAAAGAAAAAAAAAGCACCATTGACCGTTTAGTAAGATTGCAAACCTACAGTGTATACTCGCGATGCATTTGTTTAAAAGAGCATGCCGTATCTATATTTTTGACTTAGAAAAAGCTTATGATACTATTTGAAAATACGGTATCTTGAAAGATCTTTTTAATATTAGCCTTAAAGGAAATTTACCTTTATTTATCAAGATTTTTTTAAATGACAGAAATTTTCATAGTTATCACCATAGTAAATCAAAGTGTCAAAGTTATCACTATAGTAAATCAAAGTGTCAAAGTTATCACTATAGTAAATCAAAGTTTGCAAAGTGTCAAAGTTATCACTATAGTTAACTACAGTTAACTATAGTAAACTATAGTTAACTATAGTATTTTTTGTTAGGGCAGATATAAGTACTCTTCTTATACTATATAGTTCTGTAGTCAGATCAAAATTAGACTATTATTGTATTGTTTATGAATCAGCAAGGAGCTCTTATTTGAAAGTGCTAGACGCAATCCACCATCAAGACCTTCGATTGTGTTTAGGGGCTTTTCGAACTTCTCCTGCAGACAGTTTATATGTTGAAGCAAATGAACCACCTTTAGACTTAAGAAGAATTAAACTAACTTACAGTGCTTAATAAAATTGAAAGTAAATACTGATAACCCTGCATATAACTGCGTTTTTTATCCGCAGCATGAAGATTTATAAAGGAAAAAGAAAACATTTAATTAAACCAGAAATTACTTAAACCAGCTGTAATACATCCCTAACAGAATTTAATAAATCAGAAATGAATCCCGTTGTTTTAAACGGAAGTTAACAGAAATTAAACAATCTAAATATACTAGGGATGGCGATTTGTAATCGGTTAACCGGTTACTCGGTCGGAACGATGGTAATTGGTTAGAAAATCTGTAATCGGTTAGTCGGAAAAAAATTAAAATACGTGTAAATTTCCTTAAAACACGATTTACGATGTTAAAAAACCCTGAAAATTGATAAGTTATAACGTTTCCACATTTAATTCGGCTGATTTGGAGGTAAATAATTTAATTAAGACTCTCAAGATTGAATTTGTTTTGGGTAATTGGTCACTTTGCGAAGTGTTAATTGCTGTTTAAATACCATGTCGTTACCCAGCCTGTCTTAATTATGATATTAATTAAATCTTTAAAATCTGTTAAATGATTTAAATGATTGCAATGTGTATCTTACCCCGTCTATCCTTTGCAGTTATCTATCAAATTATATTTTCAAATAAACATTGTAAATTATTTCAGACTGAGTTTCTGTTTATGGTGACAATGCACAATGACCTTGTGCTGTCACATTATCAACTTTCTACGATATTTAAGAGATGTTTCATGGTTTCCTTATTTTTTCTTGCCGTTCGAAATTGAAATAAAATATAATATATAGCGTACTTATCAAGCATTAACGCCTTTTTCAGTTTTCTTGTGTATATAACTAGAGTTTACTTGAAAAATAAAATATAAGGAAAATGTTATTTTGATACGATTAACCGATTAATCGGTCGGAAAGTCTTTCGGTTAACCGATTAGCAATTCTGTATTCGATTGCCATCATAAAATATACAGATGGTTCAAAAGACAAAAACAAAGTTGCTGCTGCTGCAGTGGTTAAAAAAGACGTTTTATCTGCACGACTTCCGAATAGGGCATCAATATTTACAGCTGAAGCAAAAGCAATGCAACTTGCTTTTGAATACATTCAATCTGCTAGTAACAATTTTTTTTTCAGATTCACTCTCCTGCTTGCAATCTATTAAGAATATGAACATTGATCATCCATACATTCTGGATATGTTAGCCAAGTACTATCACTTCTCTAAACAAGGTAGAATTGTTGAATTTTGTTGGATTCCAAGTCATATTGGTATCTCTGGAAATACTAAGGCTGATAGTGCTGTCACAAATGCACTTCAATATGAAATTGTACGCTTTAAAGTTCCTTACACTGATCTGACTTATATCAACTCTTTTTGGGAAATATTTTGGGAATTTTGTGATAATAATAAACTTTATGGCTGCAAAACAAAACAAAGTTAACCAATCATCTGATTTTGACCTGAAACGTCAGGACGGTCATTATATCAAGAGTACGTATTGGACATTCAAGATTTACTCGTTCACATTTACTAAACAGGGAACATCAACCTGAATGTATATCTTGAGACTGTGCAGTGAATATGCATCATATACTTTTAGAATATACTGGGGGGGGGGGGGTTTCGCCTGAAAGCAGACTTTTTAATAAAGTGCACACAATGCATGACCTTTTTACAAATATTAATACTCATACAATTTTACAATACTAGAAGGAAACTGATTTTTACAGTAAAATTTAGATTTACATTGTCAGAGAAACCCCAAAAACTTTAACCCGGAACGTAAACTTCAACCGCCGAAATATGGCTGAAATATTGCCGACTCCGCGTCAAACAGTAACAATCAAACAATCACTCTCTTTTGAATTCAAATTGTTTGAATTTATTGTTAAAATATGTCTACCAAAGAAGGTACACTTTGAGCTTTATTGTGACCTAAAAATTTCATGTTCTTAAGGTTTTCCCAAAGGTCAACGTGTCCAAAAATTTATTTTTACAATAGCTCCAAAACTATGTGGTTTATAAAGTTCAAACTTTTACAGTTTATAAATATATCATTGATTAACAGATAGAAAGTATCACTTGATAACAAATACTTAAAGAAAGTATTTATCGAGAAAAATTCTTTTCAAAAAAATGCATATATTTTTTAAAAATACACCTTATTAATTCCGTACTTTTAGTGAAAGCCATCATTGCAGAAACAATATATGTTTATCAATGAAAGGCAAGTTGGACTTCGATAGCCTCTGGAAAGTTGTTTCCCCTGTTCATTTTATCCAAATGTTAAGATTTGAAACCTAAAGTACATTGCAAATGGCGGATTTTACACGGTTCTTGTCTTTATACATGTCATGCATTCAATAACAGCCTTTCAGAGACTAGTCACGTGCAACTTTCCCTTCATTGATAAACATATATTATTTCTTCAATGATGGTTTTCACTAAAAGTACAGAATTAAGCAGGTGCTGACCTTTGGCAAAACCTTAAAAGAGTTATGAAATTGCCTGTAATATGAGTTGAGTAGGTGAATGTGATAAATTATGAAAGAATAAAGAATGAAGGAGGACAATTATTGAAATATGACGTTATTACAAGGAGTGATCAAAAAGTTCGCGAAATAATTGAATTACTTCCATATAAGAAATAAAATTTGGTTACAGTATACATCATTTTTTAAAGTAGTCCTCTCCGATTTAAATGCACATCTGATACCGTTCTGTCAATGTGCGAATCACGTGATCCAGGCGGTCACGTGACATGTTTCTTAGCACTGTTCACAAAAGCCACAAGCCCTTAGATCGCTTTAAAAAAATTTAGGTGTTAAAAAAAAATAAAGGTACCCAAATTCGCCAATAAAATACTTTTAAATCAAATGATCGAAAACTTTACTTTCTATTCATAACTATTCACATAAACACAATCTACGTTACTACCAAAGTTCTTTCCGAAATTCCGTATATTTCCCG